GTTGGCCCAAATGTGGGTCATATTTGAACTATTTATAGGAATAAGCATTTTTTTTAATTTTGAACATTTATTTTTCACATGTATTCACAAAACTTCAACCGGGGACGGACATTGCAAAGATAAACAAGAACTGAAAGGATACTGGTACCTTACGACAGCTCTGAACCAAGTAGGGGCTCATGTCTGTATCAATACACAAGAAGCATGACAAACCAGGAAGCAGGCAACGACGCTGAGACCGTGGGACCGTTTACACCCCGATCTAGCTGACCCACCAGGAAGTACTTGGAGCCAGAACCAATCCGCTTAAGACAGAATGCAGAACAATGAACCAAGAACCAGGCAACGACACTTAGACCGTGGGACCGTACACCCCACGATCTAGCTGACCCACCATGAAGTAATTGGAGTCAGAACCAATCCGCTATAGAAGAGAAGAGAACAGAATACAGAACAAACCAAGAACCAAGCAAGGACACTTAGACCGTAGGACCGTTTTCAACCCACGATCTAGCTGACCCACCAAGAAGTACTGGGAACCAGAACAAACCCAAAATACAGAAAACAGGACCGGGCCAAAAGAAAAAACCCATGGCTGAAGCGGTAAAATTGATGAAATTTTTTAGGTATAAGATATTTTTTGTAGTAACCTGAACAATTATGCACCCTGACCCATCCTATCATAAACACTTTTGTTAAATTCAATTTTTAATTTTTTACTTTACTCGATATTTGGATTATATAATAATTGTTAAGCAGGGATATTTTATTATTGTAAAAAAGGGAGATTTTAATGATTAGATATTTTTTTTAAATGTCTCTTCCAAGCATTGGGGTCCAATGCTTCATGGAGGGGGGGCATATGTCAACATGCTAGTTAGGAAAGGAGGACCCGGTATTCAACCTTATTAATTCAATTGCCGATTCGATCGGATGTTTATTGCAATTCAGCAACAAATTGATATAAATAGTGGGCTAAGCCAAGCAACAGGCACTGGTTCAAGCAGTGTTAGTACCGCCACCCTGGGAAAGCCCCTTTGGGAAACTGTATCGTCATCTAGTGCAAGTACCACCACCCTGGGAAAGCCCCTCTAGATGAGGATCAGGTAAACGACGATTAACATTCTACGTAGCATTAGCATCAAACAGTCATTCCTTCTTAAGTAGCGTCAGACGTGTGGCCTCACGGAAGAGCATGTAACCTGGAGGATTCACGTAATAACTTTTTAGCAAATATACACCTTTTTACATAAAAACAGAGCGAGTTTCTCTCCATCTATCCACCCTACACCTCCCGTCACAGAGAAGCTGTGACAATATATGAAGAAATAGCTGATAGATTAGTTAATGATAACAAGAGACACAAAAATATTAATATATACTATGTGACAAAAAAACGCATCACTCACTAGAAGTGAATATTTTTTATCAAATTTTCTACATATATTAATGGTGTAAAAAATAACAATTATTGATTAAATGTTACTTTATTTGTATATTTTTTATTAAATTAAATTTCACTTTCAATAGCCCAAGCATATCTACAGAATTTGGTTAACAAATCTTTATACTTCTATGGGGTGATGCGTTTTTGTCACACAGTAGTAAGAGTAAAATGATATAAAACGAATACCTAAAAAGTAGAAACCACCTAATCGCGCATCACCCAACATGTATGGGAAAAGCAACATCCAATGACAAAAATCGTAGAGAAAAAACTACGACTCTGGTTCAAACGCAAATTAAATGCAGAAAACAGAAACTAAACCAAAAATACAGTTGATGTTTCCAATAATAGAAAATGATTTAAATCATTATATCGATACTCTTACTTCCAACAAGTATCAACTATGCTAACAAAAATGTAACAATGTTTTTACTGCAACCTCTTCGTTATATAAAAACAATATTTTTCAGGGGGGATTCTGTAGTAGTATTCCAGATAGAATCGAATTGAAACATCCCTATTAGGATGAGAATATTGCAGTTTTAAAAATATTGTATCATTCAATCTTTTTTTCAATTTAAAATTTTACAGGTGATACCACCTGTGCCCGGTTAGTGAAAACCCAAAAAAAAATGCTTATAATATGCCCCCTCAAAAACAGAGCTGAAGGGTCCTAGCATTCTATTTGGGAAATTTAATAAGGCTTCTAGCTGGCTGGGCACTTTTCATGGATCACCTTGTAAATTGTTATTTTAATAATATATTATTTCCTCCACATGTTCTTTTTTATTTTCAATGGCTCTTTTATTTCGCCCATTCGGGTTGGTTTTTTATTGTTTATTCTTTTATGTACCTATTCCCTTTTTTGTCTCCATTTTTTTTTTTTCACTACGGATTCTTGCATTACATATTCGTACAAGTCTATAGCTTTTTGTTTTAGTTTCGCTTATCTTTGCTTGTATTTCTTCTGAAGTATTTGTTTCCATGTTCAGTCCTTATAGGCCAAGCAATGAAGGAAGTTTACCTCAACATAATTAGAAGTTAACATTTTTTGGGGGGGATCGGTTAATTTTCATGTGCTTAATAACATATTAAGTTTGAGACCTTGTACTTCCATAGGGTTTTTAGTTAGGGGTGTTTTTAGGGGTAATTTGCGATTTATGGAGAACGCTGCTCAAAGGGATGGGCCAATAGCAAAACGTTTCAAATGAATGTTGTAGCTGAAGTTTTTTGCTATAAAAAACTCAGCGAAAGCACCCTTCTATCTTCTATAGTTTTTTTTTCTGCAGCGTCTTGAATACTAGCATGTTTTTATTCAAGGTCACTGAATCAACACCACATTATTGCTAATGAAATGCACTCTCAAATGCTTTTTTGTTCGAATTTTTTTCTTGAAAATTAAGCGAGCACCGACTTGGCTAATGTGCGAGGAAGTTGTAAATTGCATCGAAAACTACCCCTTTCTTGCATTCACTGTAATTTCTAAACGGGGCGAAATATTTGGTGACAGTTTTCGACAATCGGCAGCTCATTTATTCCTCTCATATTGCCCCAGCGGATTTTTTTTTCGTTAATTACTCAATGACTTATTGGCCTGAACACGTCGCGCGGAATTTTTCAAAAAGTCGAAAAAAATTAAAATTGTCGCACGGCGCTGAAATTTGGTACGATGGCTTTTTTTATTGTTTTTATGAATATACTGAAATTTTAATTGCTTCACATGACTGCTGCAACCATTAAAATTGCAGTATATTCATGAGAACAATAAATAATGCCATCGTACCAAATTTCAGCGCTGTGCGACAATTTTAATTTTTTTCGACTTTTTGAAAAATTCCGCGCGACGTGTTCAGGCCAATAAGTCATTGAGTAATTAACGAAAAAAAAAATCCGCTGGGGCAATATGAGAGGAATAAATGGGCTGCCGATTGTCGAAAACTGTCACCAAATATTTCGCCCCGTTTAGAAATTACAGTGAATGGAAGAAAGAGGTAGCTTTCGATGCAATTTACAACTTCCTCGCACATTAGCCAAGTCCGTGCTCGCTTAATTTTCAAGCAAAAAATTCGAACAGAAAAGCATTGGAGAGTACATTTCATTAGCAATAATGTGGTGTTTAAAAAATTGAAATCGGATTATGCATTTAGCAGTTGCTGCATCAAACGCGCGCAAACAGGTAAAACGTTGATTCAGTGACCTTGAATAAAAACACGCTAGTATTCAAGACGCTGCAGAAAAAAAACTATAGAAGACAGAATGGTGCTGTCGCTGAGTTTTTTATAGCAAAAAACTTCAGCTACAACATTCATTTGAAACTTTTTGCTATTGGACCATCCCTTTGTGCAGCGTTCTCCATAAACCGTAAATTACACCTAAAAACCACCCCTAACTAAAAACCCTATGGAAATACAAGGTCGCAAACTAAATATGTTATTAAGCACATGAAAATTAACCGATCCCCCCCAAAAAATGTTAACTTCTAATTATGTTGAGGTAAACCCTCTTTTTAGATCCCCGTTTCTTCGACTATTATTTCACTCTTCTGATTTCCAATTACCTACCTATTATAATTGACTTTTCTTCTCTACTCTTTAATTTTCTTGTGCACCTATATGTTATGCCTCTTTCGAAATTCAAATGGGCATTTGAACTACTTTTATGACATATAGCACCACTGAACCCGTCACAAAACAATTTACCCGGGACCGAATTTACCTGCCTGCAGCATCAGGTAAAACCAAAGTTTGGGACCGAATTTACTGGTTATTTTTGGGACCGAATTTGCCTATACCCTAGATTTGAACTACCTATCTGTAATTTACAGAAAATTTGGTGTAATAAAATAAAGTACAGAAAAAAAAAATAATTTGAATTAACTTTCAAAGTTCCTCCCAAAACTCCAAAATTCAATTTGAAACAAGCTAAAATAGCAAGTTCCACTTTATTAAAAAAGTTAATTAACTATAGCATAGAAGATTTTTTTTTTTAAATATTTCAAAAATTTGATGTAGTTTTACATTATGCTCTTATAGAGTTAATTAAATGGCAGCTTTTTCATTAAATTCGTAGAGCGACTAAAAATGATTATAAAAGAGCTTACCTCTTTTTTTTTAATTTTGACAACCTTTTCAACGTAAAATGTTAAGCGCAGAAAGCTGCCTTCAGGGCATCGATTATAGACCTATTATAATAAAACTTTCTAAAAATCAATTTACTTTTTATGAATGCTTTGCGCCTCTTCAGTTATTCAACGTTATGTTTAAATATAACTAGCTATTAAAATACATAAATAGAAAACCCTCTTAGACATTAAAATTCGCTTATTAATATAGACAAAACTAAGAATTTCATCAACTGCTATTTCCGTAATTCGCACTTGAAAACAGAATTAAAACCTTATTCTATGCAAAATGAGATTAATCTAAGACTTGAAGTAGGTATTTAATTTTAAACATCACGAAACCGGGATGAAGATAGAATCATAAAGGGGCTCATTGCATTCCGACTCGAGTGTTTATTAATTGAAAGATAAATTAATTTAATTGCGACTCACCGAATAACAATCGCAGTTAATGATTTGGCTCTCAGGCGATCAATAAACACTGAAATATGCATCCTGGACATTGGAAATAATGGTGGATGTGGTACCAACATTGTGATGGCATCAGTTAATTTCATTTCCTTGTAAGCACCTTTCGCAGGAGTCAATGGCACACTTCCAAGAATAACTGAGGGTTGCACTTGCATTTTTGGATGGCAACCTTCGCCTTCGTCTGGCCAAGGTTCAAGGACTGAATAGGCAACCTAAATATAAATTTAATATTTATCTCAGAGAAATATTTCAACATGGTAAACATTACCTGTACTAATCTTGGTGGACTTTTGACAAGCTTTCCAGGCCTACCATCTTTCTCTGGAGACGGCAATGGAGGCCACCATGAAGAAGGTATAGTAACTTGAGCCAAACACACACCATCTTCGCCATCAGGACTGCAAGCCGCATGAAGAGGAGATCTTTGGCCCATACTTGCGTGCAGGACTATACAAACCCTCTGATGATGTCTGGCCAATAATATTTGCCTACGGCCTCCTGGATCCGTGCCAGTATGAAACAGTACTCTGAGGACTGGAGAATCTCTTGGCACCTCATTTCGCACTATATGAGCTGACATATCTAGGTGGTGAGTCGCTTGATCTTGAAGATCAATTGCTGGGCCTGCAAGGCAGGGTATAGGCGATAAAAATATGTTCGTGTTAGATAGAGATGAACAGATAGATACATTTTGCAGCTAGATGGAAATTAAGGCGAAACCACTCCGATTAGCTTGTTTCCAATCTCAAGGTAATTGTTAAAAAAAAAATATAAGGCGTTATATATGTATATATAATTTTACTATTTTTTTTAGACAATTTAAATATTTTGAATAGCGTTTGGACAAAATTATACCATATTATAACTTACTATGGGTAAGAAAAAACACGGAAAAAACATTTTCATTAATTGCTAATGAGTGGAAGTGATGTAGATAAAGTGGCACTTATCAAAGCAAGATTGAATTCTGGAAAACAGGAGAGAAGCGATAGCGTCGAAAAAATTGGTTTCAACCCTACACACTGAAGCATGGTAATTGGCCATTTCTCTCCATCAAATACACAGTAGTCCAACTAGAAAGAGTTCCGAGCATCAAGTATTTGTAGAGATTGAATCCAATAGTAGTAGTAGTAGTAGTATAGTAGTAGTAGTAGTAGTAGTAGTAGTAGTAGTAGTAGTATACAGGGTGTCCCACGGTGGATGGCGTATTAGACGTTAATGGAGAACTAAAAAGCGGATCATTTTGAAAATTTGGCAACCGGGATACCCCACCATGATCTACACTTTAAAAATATTTTTGACCATGCGGTGTTGCCGCTTCTACTCTAAACTAGTGGCAACATCGCTATTTGGAATGGAACACGCTGTATGTGATTACATATTTGGATACTACGTAAGACTCTAAACAGATTTCATGTGATATACCCTATACCTAAGTTCAACTGTTTTGGAAATATTGACAGTTGAAAATTGACTTTTTGCAACTTTGACAGGCTGTAAAACCTGAACGGTTAATTTTAGAGGAAAACCGGTCTTACATTCCTGTCTTAGATTTTTATACACTATCATTTGACACCAACTTTGAATTAAATCTATGATCAAAAATTCCAGTTAAATTTAATCTCCGGTTAAGTTAAAAGTTGGTGTCAAATGATAGTTTATGAAAATCTAAAATAGAAATGTAAAATCGGGTTTCCTCTAAGATTAATCGTTTAGGTTTTACAGCCTGTCAAAGTTGCAAAAAGTCAATTTTCAACTGTCAATATTTCCAAAACAGTTGAACTTAGCTATAGGGTATATCACATAAAATCTGCTCAGAATTCAACGTAAAATCCAAATACGCAATCACATATAGGGTGTTCCATTTAAAATAGCGATGTTGCCACTAGTTTAGAGTAGAAGTGGCAACACTGCATGGTCAAAAATATTTTTAAAGTGTAGATCATGGTCGTTTATCCCGGTTGCCAAATTTTCAAAATGATCCGTTTTTTAGTTCTCCATAAACGTCTAATACGCCATCCACCGTGGGACACCCTGTATATAGTAGTAAGTAGTAGTAGTAGTAGTAGTAGTAGTAGTAGTAGTAGTAGTAGTAATAGTAGTAGTACCCTGGGGCTACTTGGTCACCCTGGGGTAACTTGGTCACTGATGACATTGTTTTTGTTTTTCGTTTTTTTTTTTTTTTTTGTTGTTTTCTTTTTGATAGGTGTGTCAGGTCTTTTTGTCGTTTGTGTCAGGAAGGTGCTGACTAAAAATGGTGCGGAACTACGAAAGAGTCTACCAGGATTATCCCAAAGAAAATTTAGAGAATGCCATCGAGGCGGTAAGGGGGCGGATGCCAAAGAAATTGGACGCGGAAACCTATCAGGTATCTCGAACAACCCTTACCAGGAAGATTCTTGGAAATAATCTTGGACCAGTAAGCCGTCCAATAGTTCTTTCGACTGAGGAAAAAGCAAGTATTGCTCAGACCATTGGAGTGGTAGTCGATGGGGGTTTCCCATTAACCAAATTGGACGAGAAGTTGGATGTTAGGACTGTTGACCTTGACAAACAGGGAAAAATAGTTCATGTCTTCGAAAACAACATTCCCGGAGAAGATTTCCTGGATTCGTTCATCAAGAGAAACAATCTGTCTAAAACAGGGTTTGTCTTTATTATTATTGACCAGAAAATGTTATAAATTGGCGATTTATGAAAATATAAAACCAATTACCTACATGATCGCTTAATTCATTTTAAAAGTAAATCCGGGGTAACATCGCCAAACAAACCATTTACAGCACTGATTTCATTGATATTCTCAAATGTGACCAAGTTGCCCCAACTCCGGGGCAACTTGTTCACCACATATATATATATTTTTTTCAAAAATAGAATAAAAAACTGACACTTCATAAACGTCAAATGATTATTTATGTTTTTGTCAGTATGTAAAAAAGTTTTAGTCCAGATACTATGGAACGTAAAAGAGAAAATCCAAATAGAGTCAAAAAAGGGTGACCAAGTAGCCCCAGATTAGGTACCTAATACGCAAGAAAAAATAAGGACTTTTTTCCAAGCCAAACTTGACAGTGAAAGTCTCAAAACAATAATATCAAATCAACTCCGGATCAGGATTCAATGAACAACCAGGAGTCCAACAGAATATCAAATCCGAGAAGTCACTCGAAAATGGCAAACACAACAAATCATGATGCTTCGTTAGAAGCCAAAATTGCTAAGTTTATGCAACTACTGACTTTCAACCCAAGTTTGGACCTCTCAATTAATTTCCTGCGCAAATATGAAAGTGCAGCAGCAGTGGTTGGACCGACTCATACAAAATATATCTGCTTCTAGGTGTTTCTTAGAAAGCCGCAAAAAGCTGGTTTTCAGCATATAAATCGAGCCAGATGAATCGAAACCAAACATGGGAAACTATAAAAACTGACTTCTCGAGAAGACAACAGGAAGACGAGGATATCAAGAAATTCTACTTCGAATTAAACGCCCTAGCTTATGAGATAGACCAGATGCCCTTCGAAACCTTCAGGGACCATTTTGAGAACGGTCTCCACTCATCGCTCTATAAAAGTTACTACCTCATATGAGCACAGAAATGATGCACCACGCCAAGTTGAGAACGTTGGTCCTGAAATTTAGCAAGGTAAAGGGACTAACTTCAATACAGAAAATGATCGATCAAACGGCACTGCTAACAGTGGAAGATCGAAAGAGCGGTAGGTAATTCAAGTAGCCTTGAAGGCTCGGCTTTGGAATAAATTATGAATATAACAACAGGAATTCTGAAAGTTTTGAGGGAAGTTATGGATACCAAAAGGGGTATGATCCTAAAGTATGATCCTACAATGGAGTAGGGGGCACCACAGGGACAGGTCTAACCGCAGCTCAAATTACCGCCAACATTATAGGCAATTTTCAGAGACAAGAAATCACGATGGTAGACCGAGATGTCAAGACTGCAGAAAAACTGGTCACTACATGTAGGACAGGAATTTCCAAGACCACGGTCAACAGAGAGGAGGATGCTTTTTCAGAGATATATCGCCGTCCCCCAAACGACAAAGAGGGACTCAATTGGATAGCGCCAATGATGTCGTCATGCAGGCAGGGGTTACACACAATATTTTAAGACTTAGTCGGCAAGTGACTAACCGGCCCAACGTAGAAATAGTCCTAGATACTCCATCAAGGCGATCATAATCGAAAAACCTTTAGAGTAACAAAATCACCCCGACTAAAGAGGCCATTTCTTTGATGACTGCAGGCGGTAACAAAGTAACCCCTTTGGGGACCACGCAGGCTAAACTTGCACAGGAGAGATATCTGGATATGTAGAAGCATTGATGGTAGAGAAACTCTCAAAACCCTTAATTTTGGACACTGATTTCTTGATGGAAATAACGCTTAAATTGACTGAGCAAAGGAAGGCTCGTCTCAGGAACGGAGTGATTACGCGACACTAGATTTTTAGAACAAAAAAAAAAGTAGTGACATCGAGACAAAAGGAATCCAAAAACGATATGATATTACATTGTCACGATAAAAGTGGATGTAAGAGAACACATAAGCACAAAAGGAGAAATTCCACAAAATAAGGAGTTCAATGAGTGTGATCGCATACTGAGACCAAAGAGTCTACTCGCCCCCTATTTACCAGCACAAGACTACATTCTAGATATTAAAACGAAGAAACCCTATAACATCAGACTGTACAAGGGCGCTACGGTAGGATATTATATTTGTACGAAAGAAAAGGAAAAAATTTCACCAGTGATGTACATGGAAGAGTACAACGATAAAAAGGAAGTTACAGCAGAGGACCACGGAATAGGTTACACACAAGAGAAAAATATTGAGAGGCAATTAGAGAATTTATAGACATAATACGACGGTATATTTGCAAAAAGTTTGGAATTGATGGGCAAAACAGACCTTATCGAGGATGTAATCGACGTGGAGGATTCCAGCCCAGCAAGAAGAAAATCGTATGTAGGAGGAAAAGCGTATGAAGTAGTAAAAATAATGGAGAAGTCGACTCCATTCAGTAATTTTTGGTTTGAAAGCGACAGTTTATTTTACATTTAAATGACGAACAGGACCATCTTTCACTGACCCCCGGCGAAAAACGTAATGTAATGTGGTGATTCCGAATAGGACACCCAATTATTTAAAAAAAAAAATCATTAGTTTATGTTGCATATTTAATACGATTATTAAATTATTAGACCATGTTGAAACTATTTAAATTAACATGTCGGGGAAAATGATATGTCAAGCAAAGGAGACCAGTAACAACGAGAATTTTCGCCTCTCTAATTATGCGATTAAAGTATTTTTTCTTCAAGAAGTCCCAGTGAAACATATAAGACCAATAATCGTAAATAGTAAACAATGTGCGATGCGATGCCGTAACAATATTAAAATTATTTATAGCACAGGTATTTTATTTCAGCTGACGCAAGCATAGTTAAGGTATGGCATCTCATGTGCAGGTTACTGGGTTAATGAAGCGGTTATTGTCTAAATATGTAAGTGAGAAGTTTTGTTGAAAGCAGAATTTACGATTTTGAATAGGCACTAGTGAATTTGTAAATATGTAGATTAGTTTAAGAAAGTATAAGGAACAAACAATGGCTAGAACTAACCGGCTTTTTCTCGGGACATTGCAGACTTAAGAAACACCTAGGAAATTTGGGGTTGAAAGAAAGCGGTACCTCTGTAGATTCTCTGAAGATGAAGTGGAGACACATCTCTACCTTCTGCTGAACTGCGATTCCGTTAGTAGTTTAAGGATGAAGAATCTGGGACATGATGCCTTTATAAATCAGTTAGGCGACATATCATCTCTAAGACCACTGGATATCCTAAGATTAGGACTTCATTGAGCAGAAAACCTGAATTTAGCAGCAGAAAGCGAAAAACCATAGATCAACCTAGACTGCGACCTAGACTAACAACTGACACCTCCAACACACACATTACATACGCACCCTCAGAAAAATCTGGCTCATTTAAACACCTAGGAACAATGTCAACTTTGCATGTATGTAACTAAATAACTTAATGAAAAAAATAAAAAATTATAATCGAAAAAGTTTAAACATAAATATATATACATATACGAAAGAAAAACTTAAGATATAAAAAATTATTCAGAAATATTTATAGTAATTACTATTTCTGTCCGTCGTAAAATTTGAATTTCGGTTAGTTTGTCAGTCTCTTTGACAGTACCACAATAAACTGAAAATTTCTGAAATCCGCGATTCTTATGGCAATTTTTAGGAATCTAAATTTAAATTAAAGCTGGAAAAATAAGCTAGTACCTAATACTTTATAATTTGACAAAAGTAATTTTTACCAGTTGTATTCAGTGGCATCGGATCAGGAACAATATACCGCGCCGGTACAGTCTGTTTGGTACTAAATGGTCCATAAGTAGCTCTAACACTTATCGGTTGGCTACTTTGCAGTACTGTAAATCGGTCAATGGATAAAGGGGTGCCCGAAGAAGCGGCTCCAGGGCCACTGGGTAGCGGCACTAACGCATCGGGTATTGCCAATGAGTTAGTCGACGATCCAGAATAGTGCTGTCTGGATTGTTGTTTAAGAAAAAAGCCGCCATCTTTATTTTCGAAATGGACGTTCACTGAAACTGTCGATCCTGAAAAATAAAGAAATATTTGTTAGTGAGGTATAACCTTGTAACTTTTATACTATTATTATTTTAATATTATCAATAGAGGAGTAGGTATACATATATTCAGCAATGTGCCTACTTCACATAATTAATTTTCTTTTGATATACAAATTTTGAGCCAGCCATAATAACAGCAATTTTAGCCAATGTTATGGTCTGTGAATAAGATAGCGTTAAGGCCGTTAAGTACCGCAAATGAATGCACAGCAGACAGACAATATCTTGAAGTTGTCATATCCTCTTAGAAAAGCAACAATTTTTTACTGTTAAAAAAATATGTATGCTTTTTTTCCGTAAAATAGCAGAATATTGGAATTTCCTTTAAAATATTAGCACTCTTTTTTTTTATATATTTTGCACTTTTCCTTCGACAGCCACTAAATTACTGGTTGTAGGCTTTGAGATGTTTGGTCATCCATACGATGTCCCTTAAACATCATGAAATTAGAAATGCTGTTTTAGGTGTGATGCCTTCCTTCCTTCCTTGTACATTCCTATCTTCAATTTTTGCATCTTGCGTTCTCTCATGTGAGCTTTGCGTTCCCAAATATTTGTATTCGGTTCATTGTTTTATTTCTTGACCGTTATTTAATTTCAGGTTTCTTCTTCCAACCCCATTCCTCGTATTCTTCTGTTAATTCACGTGTCATGTTCTCTAGAATGTAGTTCATAATATTCCTGTGTAATCAATACTTGGTTATCTGCAAAGCTTAGAGTTCAAACATCATATTCATTGGCATCCTCATGTGTCTGCATTTTTTTTTACCCCTCAAGCGCTTGTTGTGTGTGAATTTCAAAAAATGTGGGAGGCAGCATCCCTATTTAGGTCCTTTAGTTGCTATAGACCGTCTTAACTGCCCTTATTAGTTCTATGTTAATTTTGGTCTTATTTTGCTTCCAAATAGCAAATAAAGTTCTTGGTCATACGCTAGTTTCTTTTCTATTACCTAGGTTGAACTAAATAAGTGATCTACTGTTGCTCTGAAACTGACCTGTTTTTCTGCCTCACTCTTTTTGTAAGTACTCGTTTTCTATTTTGTGTTTTATGTTTTTTTCATATACCCTGCAGATCGTATTTGTCACTATAATGCCTTGGTGATTTTCACATTTGTTTCTGTCTCCCGAGCTGTCTCCTTTCATATAATAATAGAGAGATATTGCAAATCATCCTTAATAAGGCTTAAACCTTATTTAGACGCGATAGGTCATTTCCTTACTTCGAATGACAAGTTTAGATATTGCAAGTTTCCAGAAATGACTGGGAGTTGATGCCTTATTTCTAACCTGAAAATCTTGAATTTTTGTGTTTATTTTTTAAGTTTTGAACTTGAAGTGTTTTCTTTCTGATGTGGAATATATGGTTAGATATTTTGAAAATAAGAAATTATCTATTTATATAGTACGTGTGAAATCGTAGAACAGTGGCAGGAAAATGACACAAATTCTCTAAGCAAAACCAGTTCATCGTTATTCGTAAACATTGAGGTTGTTTGTTTGTGTTGTTCGGGGCAGCACTTCCTGCTTTGGGGCGTACGTTTGTGAGCGTTTTATATGGTTTATCTGCCATAATTTGAGATATTGCAGCTTAGTTCAAGTTAGTGCGACAAAAACAAACAAACCTTAGTCTGCCTCTATTCTGTGCCTCGATGCTGTTTTGATTTTGCCCCATTTCTCAAAGTTTGGAAGAAAAAAAAAATTCAAGAAAAGTCAAAATTTATTGTCATGAATTTAAAATCTATGGTTAGAAACACAAAACATAACAAAACTCAGTTCGCGATTCCTACCGATCATCGCCGATCGACTAAGAACTTTTAAATAAGGCAAAGATAAGGCAGGTCTTATTTTCTCCTAAATAAGGCAAATCCTTAATAAGGCTGTCTTTATTCCAAACGGAAACTGCGCATGCGCAGCTGTCGAAATAAGGCTAGCCTTAATAAGACAAGCACTTGGAATATCTCTCTATTATAGCTATCGTTGTTAAGTAGCTTATTTTCCACTTTTCCGATACCTCATGTCTATCTATATATGTTTTAAATAGTTTTATTAGGCGTAAAGTCTATAATGCTCCTATACTTTAAAAGTTCTTCTATTCTGTCCGTAATCATGTTAGTAAATGAGCTAAGTAGATTGCCTTGTCTTATTTTAATTTCAACATGTTCAGTTAACTCATGCATCGCTTCTATATATTTTATTCTACAATGACTCCTATCGTATGTATCCTATCTCGTATTAAAATGTCAATATTTTATATTAATATTGGTCAAAATATTGATCAAAATTTGGCAGAAAAACCCACGGGAATTGAAAAAAAAATAGCAGTACGCATAAAGTTGTGGGTGAGAAAATAAGACTGAAAAATACCCCAACATTCTCAGGTGATTTCAGCGATGAAAATTATATGTACTATATTACCAAAATCAATATATTTGTATCAAAAAGAACAATCGAATATATTTAGATCACAATAATTTTCGATGAGGCTTTTAATGCATGTTCGTTCCGAAGCAATTTATAGGAAATGCTATTACATAATAACAAATCATGTATTTTCATTCCCTTTCATAATATAAACGTTTCGATTTTATTGATTAAACATTTCTTAATCGCAGAAAAGTACTTGAAGAAGAAGAAACAGGTATACAGGGTGTTCCTAAATATCATGTACAAACGAAAGGGGGTGATTCTTTGGTTTATTTTATGGCTAAAATTTCTAATAAACATAGGTCCGCAAACGCTTCGTTACCGATCTACAGGGTGTTGAAATTTTAAGATTTTTTTAGGTTTTTCTCTATAGCTCCTGTAAATTTTGAGGGATCAAGCTCAAATTTGGAATAAAGGTTACGCAATAGAAGCTAAATGATTGCATATGTCAAACGTTTGCCAGAATCTACAGGGTGATGTTTTTTCAGGGGTCATGCCTCCTTTTCTGCTCCTGAACTTTTTTGCGGTGCGCCACTGGTCGATTCTAAGGAACAAAATAATTTTTCTACCTTATTTAAAAACTTTTTGTTCTCTTGTAGTTTTTTCGTATCACCGACCGTTATCGAGACAAAAATTAAAAAACAAATCTCTGTAATTAGGTAGATGAAATTAAAGTGACTCAATAAACCTTTTCTACCTACAGTGGCGACAATAGAGGTCCCGCAGCCATATTCCTGCTCATTTTCAATGGAAATCTAGAAGTTAGACACCTTTCGCCGCCATATTCTTGCTCATTTCCCATAGAAATACATTGAAATTTCAACACCCTGTAGATCAGTAACGAAGCGATTGCGGACCTATGTTTATTAGAAATTTTAGTCATAAAATAAACGAAAGAATCACCCCTTTCCGTTTGTACATGACATTTAGGAACACCCTGTATATACCTATATGAAAAATTCTTACTTAACTGGAGAAAAAAAAAGCTGAGGGTGAAACAAATTTAATCATTAAATACATAAATGGGGCACCCAAAATTGTCGAGAAAATTAAAAAAAAACTAAATATGTCTAGGGTGGTTAAAGTTATATTTTGATATAATGATTTAAGTTCAGTAGTTAATAAAATTGATGAATGGAAAGCAAGAGTTATGTTATCAAATCCCACTTTTATATTACTTATAAGCTTGTGTAATAGCTTGATTAATTTAGATGGGTATTTTGCATATTGTCAAGACCGGCAAAACCAAAAAGGCGGGGGTGTGTGTAGTTAAGTTAAAAACCAAATAGGTGGAAATAAAATAAATTGTAGCATCTCCAGCAATTACAGAATGGAAGCACCGATTGATGCAGTTTGGTTAAATGTCCAAATAGGAAGTATAAAAATATCCCTTGCGTGCATTTATAGGCCACGACCAGTGAGGAAGCCAATACACGTATGACAAATACTATAGAAAAGGCCTACACCCGAAACCACCCCATTTATATTGTGGAAGACTTCAACTACCCAAACATAAAATGCCCGTTATGAGGAAATAAATAACTTCATTAGACTCCAACCAACAATAAAAGTAGATCCACAATTCGAGAACTTCCAGTGTGGTATGAGAGATAGAGTGGAGAAATACATACTGGTCAAGCCAGTAAAAACTAACCCACAAAAACCGTGGATAAACCAATATTTATTCAGGTAAATAAATAAGAAACGTAGATCATGGCATAACTATAAAACAAATAAAACACTAAGCAATTACCAAGCTTACATGTTACAGAGTAACAAAACTGAGCAGAAGTTGCTTGATGCCCGGAGAAAGTATGAAAATGGTCTTGCGAATGCGGTTTCACCAAAAAAACTGTTCAAGTATATAATTCGAAACTTGAATTCCATCCAACTAATATCTTTCTTTCTAGAGAACAATCACATACCTTCAGCCCAACATGGATTTCTACCAAAACGTTCTACCACTACCAATCTTTTGGAATGTCTAAATGATTGGACAAACAACCATGACAATGGCCTACCAACAGATGTTATCTATCTAGATTATGAAAAATCATTTGACAAAGTCCCACATAACCTGTTTTTAGTGAAATTAGAGCACTTTGGAGTTAGAGGAAAGTTGCTTGCCTTGATCAAGGATCTGCTATACCCATAGGGTAACCAGTGGCTTCGTGCAGGGTTCGGTGATCGGTCCGGTGCTGTTCACAGCGTACCTTTTTGATTTGGTGCACCTAATCCAATCAAGTGTTAAATTGTTTGCAAATGATTGCAAAATCTATGCAAATCCTTGGATAGAGGCGAATTTACTTCAAACTGATCTTAAGAACATTGAAGAGTGGTCAAAAACATGGGGAATGAAATTGAACTCCTCAAAATGCACAGTACTAAGGATTGGCCCAAATAACCCTAACAAAGACTATATTCTTGATGACCCTGCTTTGACATCAGTAAATGAACAAAATGATCTGGGAGTTGTAGTAACAAGCGACTTGAAGTGGGAGAATTACATAATTAAAATAACTGAAAAAGCTAACTCCTACGTA